GTATTTTTACAGTCTTTATTTTACAGTTAAAATAAATGTTTATCAAATAAAGTCTAATGTTACAACTAATCATGGATCACTTTAAGTACACTAACCTTACTCTTGTAAGAGAAAAGGTTACAAATAAAAGTTTTTAGTTGTTATTTTCTAATATAGATAATTCAGGAAATCTTTTCAGGACCCCATCTTGATGTTTTGGGACCCTATTGTGGGTCCTGACCCCAGCTTTGGTAACCACTGTATTAGACCACATGTGTGTTAGGGTTATTTTAATTAAAATAGATCCTTTTATCTGACACATGACGAGTGCAGTAAACAGTACCCAGTCTTACCCAGTTTTTTAGAGTACGCATCAAGTTTGTAAGCAGCTTGTTCAAGTGATGAGACTTGCTCTTCTATTTTGTTGATCTGGTCCAGGTACGGCTGCAGACTAGCATCTAGTAAACACAGTATTAGATATTATACACAGTATTATATGAAATGTAACGAGAAGGATTTAAAGTGCAGATTAAAGTTTACACTTATTGTTGAGATCCTGCAGGTTACAGCTGATGTTAACACTGATGTCCTTCATTTCCATGTACTTCAGACTTGTCAGTTTGTTCATGTTCTCCAGCAGACGGTAATCTTCACACGTGGCTGCACAGGAAAGGAAACAAAAGGACCATTAAATGCAGCCTGGTGCTTTTCCAACTACAGACTCTGATGTTCTCAGGTGACATTAGGACCTGTGGATGAGCTGATGGAGTCACCACATTTCTGTTTGTATGCTAACAGGCTAACTAACGGTTTGCAACATTTTACTGTCAGGATTTGTGACAGTAGCCTGGTGTGTCCTGGTAGTGCCTGTCTGCCTCAGTCCACTTTCACTTTATTATGTCTGGAGCTTTTCTGCTTCCTACACACTGCTCTACTAGCTACAAGCTAACTGCTAGCTGAGCAGCATGGTGCAGCTGGTAAAAACTAAAAGAAGTAGCCAGATGCTGACGTCAGGGAGAAGCATCTATAAACATGTTTGAGTCGTGATGTTGTGTGTCAGCTGCAGCCTGTCTTCTGTCTGAACGTACAGAAAACATGAAGCTCAGCTAACACTTGGGACATTTTACTACAACTGTAAATATTAAAACAGCTGCTGTGGTTTCACACATACTGAGGATGAAACATATTTTTTTACTTTTTTTCCCCTCATCTGAATAACTTTTTCATTAGACAGTATTTAAAACCATAAATAAAATCAGATTAAAAACCCCTGGAAACCATAAACCCACCTGTGGACATCACCTGTACAAAGATTCATGCTGCTAACATTAACTGGAGCAAAGTTACAGAGGTTTTAATAAAGAAATAATTTAATGTTTAGTCATTCTGCACAGGACAGACCATGATGGTTCTGTTAATAAATGTTAACAAATCTGAAGTTTTTACATCTAAAAGTTATTTATTTTTATTTACCTGCCTTAAAAGACTTGTTATCAAACATTTGTTCTCTTAAAAAAATTATCCAAACATTTATTTGTCTCCATATATCTTATATAAAATAATGAGAAATTATATTTGACTTCAGTTGGATCAGATTCACTCAGAACCAAGTGAAAAACTTTCAACACATTTTATTACATATTTAGATATCTGCTTTGACTTTAACAACATATGTCAACAATTTGTCTTTTACAGATCTGTTATAATTTATTTACAGATTAGTTCTGTTTTTACAGATTACTTGCGTATTTACAGATTAGTTGCGTATTTACAGATTTGTTGTGTGTTTACAGATTAGTTGTGTATTTACAGATTAGTTGTGTATTTACAGATTAGTTGTGTATTTACAGATTAGTTGTGTATTTACAGATTACTTGCGTGTTTACAGATTACTTGCATATTTACACATTAGTTGCGTATTTACAGATTAGTTGTGTATTTACAGATTAGTTGTGTATTTACAGATTAGTTCTGTTTTTACAGATTACTTGCGTATTTACAGCTTACTTACGTATTTACAGATTAGTTGCGTATTTACAGATTTGTTGTGTATTTACAGATTTGTTGTGTATTTACAGATTAGTTGTGTATTTACAGATTAGTTCTGTTTTTACAGATTACTTGCGTATTTACAGCTTACTTACGTAT